AGGCGCAGACACCACCGGGTTTGATCCTTACAAATCTGTCGTCTTCCCCCGCCTCATGCACTCCCTACTGTGTGATTCTGGTGAGTCAGGAATTTCCTATCTTGTTTCATCTGACACCGTCTGCTCCGTCTCTCGTGCACACTTCTGAGTGACGCCTCCGACTCCCAGGAGGTACTCTGCTGCTTCTTGCCAGCGTAAACAAACAGGCAGAGTACGGCGGGGGCCTTCAGGGCTAATTACCAGCTAGCACCATGCTAACAAAAAACAAGAGCGGGGGAGAACAAATAAGAGTCATGTGTGTGGGCAGGTAGACACACACTTCACGGAAACAATGAGGCTTGTTGTGTAGGTGGATGAACCAGGTGTCACATCTGCAGGAAGAACCTGAGTCAGCCTTTTAATAGGCAGCTTTTATAAGGTCTTCTTTTCCAAATGATGACAGATACGCAGAGGTAGACGACACATGAGAACAAAGAGGGGGTATAACATGTCTGTTACGTGAATGTGTGAGGTTCAATCACTCTCTAGCTGCAGAGGAATGCAAATACATAATGATAAAAAGTGATGTAAATGCAGAGGGAGGATTGTTAAATGATGTGCCCACTCGCATGAGACTGATGCAAGACTGACAGCTGGAGACTTGCCTGTCTTTACTGATACATTTCATGTTTCAGACGCAAAGTGCTGAGCTATCAAACGCTCATCCAGCTTGCTCAGCATCTCAGCTACCCCGCCCAAACACACACATATCCTTGTCTTTGTGTTGGCAGATTTAATAAGCTCCCCTGTCACCCACAGTACACACAACACTCCGCCTGCCGTGAACCATGCCTCTGAAAATCATAAAAAAGGTGTTTGTAGCTCATTTTCATCTCCTTGACTACCCTCTCCTGCATTTTTCCCCCAGACTCCTCCCTGTGTCTGTTTGACCTTTAACCTCTTATGACCCCACAGTGCACCCAGGATGAGCGCCAGACTGTTTGAGAGGAGAAGCAGGAGCGCTAACAGAGCAGATAGTCACATGTAAACAGATGATGTATGTTTACTGACACTGGTGCCACTAACAGAAGATTAGGGACTAACAGCGTTAACAGAGACAACAGACATCGATTGTAAAACGGGAGTGTACTGTCTCTGCCTGTGTAAACCAAATTCCCGCAAATGGGTTTAATTATAGTTACAAATGTGGCACCGCTGCCAATAAGACACGCACATTTAGTTATGTGTGTAGGAAAAAAGGTATTCAGTGACAAGCTTGTAGACCCCTGATAACACGCACACACCTTCTCAGTATGCAAACACACACTGATTTGGCAAACACAGTCCTTCTCTCATTCTGCTCCTGGCTTGACGGGGGGAAAAAAGAAGAAAATACTTGCTAACAAATCCCCAGAGAGAAGTTGAAATGAAAAGTACTCATGAACGTTGAGGTGAAATACGAGACATATTGCTACATTAAAAAACTAAAGTGGAGCGGCACTCTCTCCGAGTTAACACGTTAACTCAGAGAGAGTGCTAAGCTAACACGTCCATGTTTATAATTCATCGTGAAGTACTAACTGGCCATATGGTGGTTCAAATAAAGGTCTTTGGCAACCGAAATCAAAAGGACTGAAGTGTTGACGGGACTTGTGCTGCAGTTTTACTTACTTTATCTACGAGAGGATGGTTATGTCAATGGGATGAGTGACTAATCGGATGTTGTGTGTCGTGGGAAAAACATGTAACAATGAGCTGGGTAGAAATACACGTTTATTTTCAGCCAATGGGAGAATCACTGCTCGAGGTATGGGCAGTCTTTCAGTCGATTGGTGTCAAACACTTTGAAATACCATAACATCTATTAGATATATTACTATGAAATGTTGTACAGGCGTTCATGGTCCCCAGAGGATGAATCCTTGTGACTTTTGGGAGCCGTTGACTTATCTTATAGCCCCACCATGAGGTCCATTTGTGCTAGACGAATAATTAGTGATCACCTAAGTCTTAAGAATCCATCCTCTGAGGACCATGAATAATAATGAATCATTTCATCCATCCAACAGTTGTTGGATGTCCCAACCAAAATCGTTCAAATTACTCATTAAAACATGATTGTACCAGTCACCTGTTGTGTATTTATTCACAGTGTTTGTGTGTTTGAGGAAGGCCATAATCGCAACAGCATCGGCCTCTCATCTTTCTGCGGTGTGATTTCTTTCCTTCTCTAATTTAAAAAAAGTAAAACAAAAATCCCCCTTTGGCAGCATTGATTAAAATTCCTAATGGGACTTAAAAAGAGAGTGAGAACGTGAAGATGTTGGTGGGTACACACCCTGCTGCAGGACCCCTAAGCAAGCCCCTGATCCCCATGAACTTGCTGCCTCTCTCAGCCAATTTGCCCCGAGGTGTGGGGAACTTTAGACGCCTCGACCCAGTCCGTTAAAGCCTGCTGGCTCTGATAACGGGGAGCCGGGCAGACTGGCTTTCTGAATGCACAGGAACCGTACGCTCCCACAGTGGTGAGTAATTACTGTGGCAGTGGAGAGCGAGCAGAGATAGGGGATTCCTCTTCTGCATAACTAGGTGGACGGAAGATAGATGTCTCTGTTTTTTTGCTCTACCTCTGAATCTCTCATGCCCATTTATTCGTGTCAGCAACCACGCTAACGCCCTCCGCTTGGCACAGACTCAAATATGATATCTGGCCATGGCTGATAGATGGAGGCTGATTTTGGTCTAGAGGCTTTTGGAGCCCTAATCAATAGCTTTAATCAATTAAAGAATGCAGCAACTGAGAAGCAGGAGAAACTGGCCAAGTCTCACACTAAAAGCACCTCTTTGTATTTATCAAAGTGCGCCTGTATCGATTTGAAAAAAGGTATGGAAGGAGGTATCAATTTCAGCGCAGTGGCACCGTGAAGATTCGGCAATTTTCTACGCCCTTATCTTAACACTGAGCCTGTTTTCAAAGGAGGGAATTGCATGTGTAGATATACCCCTCCATGGCACTGGTGGGCTTTTATTTGACTCCCTGAGAGTGAAGCACAGAAGGTAAGAGAGGTGAGCACTGCAGATTTTGAGCTGTCGCACTTCAAGAAACCCAGTCTGCTCAGAGCAACAGTACCACACTGCCCCCAAATGGTCAGCTGTGGAACTGAGGCGGCACATGCACAGACTGTGTGCCTTTTATCAGCAACAGGAGGACAATATAAGTGGTGGAAATACACCACTAGTCTTTCATTTCTTTTAAAACTAATTGAAACGCACCATTTGGAGTAAATCAGGCCTTGACGTTGAACATTTTCAGGCATTATCAGACTGTTATGACTTCCCCAGGTCATATTTAAACTTATTTACAAGATAAATCTTAACTCTGTCTAATTGACTTCCTTACAGCCGGGAACCTCTGTGTATGAGCAAGCACACATAAGCACTACCACATGGTCATGCATTAGCAATGTATTATTATTCCAGTCCATTATAGTTGGGGGGCGCTCATTAGCCGTAATGCTGATCTAAGGTCAGGCCCACTGTGCATCGTTCCCATGGGGTTGGCTCTGGGATTATATGGAGTATAACATGGGAGTGATGTGCAAATGGCTGAGTGAGTCACGGCTGTCCCTGTTGGTTATACTGGCTTTAAAAACGTTAACAGATCCTGATCCACTTTAGCAAACATGCTCTTTATTTCACCACAGATAAATAACTGAAGGATGCTGCGCCTCCACAGAGAGGATTTATTTGTTATTGCTGGCCAAGGGAGGGCTAGCCAATGGCTGTGTGAATGTATATCTGTTTCTGGGCAGATAGTGGTTGATGCTCAGCCTGTCACATCTTTCAGCAGGGGGCTCGACCTGGCTGTCTGCCCGGGCCTTCGGGAGCCAGGTGGAAATGTATAGATCGAGTTGCACTAGGAGAAACACATCAGTCTGCTAGAGCTCGACTTTATCCTCTACAGGTCTCTAGATGCTAAATCCAGAGCCAAACTATGACACATTTATTTCTGTGTATTCACGTCTGGATTAGCAGGCTAAACTCAGGTGTAATTGCCGGACGATTATGCAGCACAATGAGCTGCCTTTCTCCTAGTTTTCCCCCCTATAAGAATAAAAGTGCTGAAGCGGCAACAGCGTTTAAATTAATCCTCTAGCTTGAGTATTCTGACACTAGCAGGGCCATAAAGGACTATGAAGAGGGGCCCGGTGCTAGCATGTGCTGTGTCAGCACATTCTCCAGCTATAGCAGCCAGGGCTCTGGCAGTGCAGGGGGTGGGGGGGGGGGGGGGTAAGGCATCTCCTACTTCCTCCACATCAACCTCATTTGTTTATCCCCTCCTTACCCTTTTGTTCTGTTGTGCCAGATGGCAGCTATGTGTTTTTTTTTTCTTATATAGGAACTGTCCCTAGTTTGCCCTTAGCTTGGCTTCAGTAGGTTGATTGTTTTTGTTTTATTCTTATCGTGTCTTTATACTTGCTTTTGTTTATAGATATTCCCTGTGCTGTGTTCTTTGCCATCTTTTTAATAAGATAATGTCATTGTTGATTAAATTGGGAAGGTGTCTGAGAAGTCTTTCAGGCTTCCTTTCTTTTCTGCACCTTGTTCTTCCTATTTTAATAATTCACAAGTTCTTTATTATTGTGAATATAAACTATACTTTAGTATGAGGGCACGTGGTTGTCATCTACACCTTTATTGCTAGGTGTGGGAAACAATACACTGCAGTGTTTTTGACAGTGTGGAAATGGCCTTTGTTCAGCATCTCAGATCTCAAGGGTGTTCAAGTTTTTTTCCCAATTACGCTTGCCTTAGAGTAAGTGACCTAAAAAGACATCTAGTGAAGTCAGTGCCTACAATTTGGGTGTTTTATATTCTATACAAAAAGTATCATAGTAGATATGCATGTCACATGATCTATATACATTTCCTTTGGTTAAAACTACTCATATTTGATTGTGTGTGGGAGAAGTCATCTGATCAGTCTGGGTCAGGATTCACGACAATAATAGGGGTAAAAATCCGATGCACCTTCAACTTTTATTCAACATCACAACTCCGGTAGTAGACATTTGGTTTGAGAGCAGACTATGGATTTCTAGTAGTATGTCTCAACAGAAAAGCACTACAAGTATGAAATGACAAAAGAGAGACAAGGAGGTTAAAACATGGCTACAGGCCTGCATGCACAGAACGATGGAGTATATTTGAGACGTGTTCTCTAGGTGAGTGCTGTACAAAGCGCCCCAGCTACCATTCAAACGGTAGGCCAGTCAATTCTGTGCAGGTAGCATTGTGTTCATAGAGCGGTCTGAAACTGAGTCTGGGGTACATCGCACAGTAGTGTTGGGTAGCATCATGATCGACAAATCCATTCAAAAAAAGGCACAATCCCATCCTCAACAGTCACCCAGCAAAAGCTTAGGAAACAGAATTCATCAGAAACTAAAAAAAACTACAAGTCCCACGGTTGCATCCAACAAAGTGCTCTGGATGGATGGTATAGCAGCAACTTGAGTTACGAGATCGTCAAATTGGCTGAGTGTGTTAGAGTCTGTAAAGCAGTCTGAGTTTCCACTGGTCCTGGGTCAGAAAACAGTCCTAAAGCATGTTCTTTTCTTTTAAAACAGACAAAGTATGTTTATTTCAAACTAAAACAATATGCACCCAACATGAGAACATGCCTCTGTTCCTTTTCTCCCCCCGGCATGTTATTTCCTGTATGTGTTCAATGTATAATTGGAAACAAATTACAGACATTTATTTTGGGGTTACAACATTTTCATGTTTTCATCTTAAATAATGTTCATTTTTGCCAATTATAAGCCTCTGTACTTGTCTCGCTGTATACAAGCTATTTTTTTCTGTGTGGAAACAGAAAGCATTGTAGGACACCACAAAAGCATTCACTGAAAACTTTGCAGCAGCATTTAAAAAAGAAGAGGAGATAGGAAATGGGCCAGCAACTGCCTTTTTCAAGTATTGTGTGTATTTGTTCCGTTCAGCCAGGATGTTTAACTTTCTTCCATAGGAAGGTCAAAGCGCATTTTCCCCCATATACAATTGAAACAGTTTGGTAGGCAATTCAATAAAACTCGCCAAGCTTAGATTCATTAAAACGTGTGGGGTTGCATTACAACTTAAAAAAGGAAATAAAAACACAAAGAAAAATGGTCTATCGGTAAATCAGCTAATGAGCCATCTATTTAAGTACACTGGTATTTGTGAGAGATAAAATCATTTGTTATTGGTTATAAGACAGCAACTGACATGAGTCAGTATTCGCCATGTCCCGTGTGGTGGTTTGCTGACATGAGTACAGAGAAGAAGAGACAACTTTACAAAATGATCTTTTACCTACTGAGTGATGATTATGTCCCCTCAGTGTCTGTGACAGTGTCTACCACTGGCTGACTCGCAGCTTCCTCCATGGGCTCACTCTGTTCATTGTCTACGTCCTCAGGAGAGGCGAGCCGCTCCGGATCGCTCTCAGGGAGCGCAGAGTCGGGAGAGGGTTCTTCGGTGGGCTCGGGAAAGGCTTCGGGTGTAGATTCGGCCCCTGTACTATTGTCCATCCCAGCTCCGTTGACCCACTGGGGTTGGGGGGAGGAGGCTCTCTCTTGTGACTCCTCCTCCTCCTTGTCTTTCTGTGGGCTTTCCTGCTCTTCCAGAGAGGGAGTCTCTTCAGGAGGGCTGACGGCTTGTGTGAAGGCCACAGGTGAGTCCTGGGAAGAGGCCTCAATCAGCGGCGAAGCTTGGCTTGGGGTCTCTGGGGAAGCAGTGGTTTTGAAGGGTGACTGGTCTGGGGACAGTGCTGGGGATTGGGCCGGGGACAGGCTGGCAGCCTGAGCCGGGGACTGAGCAGGGGTCTTTTCAGGGGACTGGGCCGGAGATAGGGATGGTGATTCTGTTTGTGGAGGAGTCTCATGTTGTGGTGAAGACTTGGCCTGGCTGTGAGACTCAGCTAATGGGCTCTGATATTTGTTGTCAGGTGAGCAGTCAGGTGATTGGGCTGGGGGTGGGGAGTGGGCCTTCGGTGTCTCAGACAGAGCTGGGCTTTCTGACTCTGGCACAGCTGCTTGGCTCTCGGAAGGAGGTGGAGACTTAATCTGAACCTCTGATGGGGGCAGACCCAACAGAGAGGGTTTGGCATGAGCTTGAGGCAGGAGCGGGGACTGGAACCGTGACTGAATCTGGGGGTTCAATTTAAGCGGTGCCAGCAGTTTGCCTTGGTTCAGGGTCAGATTGGGATTGAGCGTTGGAGTTGGAAGCAGAGGTGTGGGCAGAGGGAGGAGAGGCGTCCACCCCCCACGATCCCTCTCACGCTCTCTCTCCTTGTCGCGCTCTCTGTCGCGCTCAGGCTCTCTGTTGCGGTCTCGGTCTCTGCCTCGCTCCCTGTCCCTGTCCCTCTCTCGGTCCCGGTCTCTCTCTCGGCTGTGGCGGTTGCCGTTCATCTCCCTCCTGAAGTCAAAATCTCTCTCTCTTTCTCTTTCATCTCTGTCTCTCTGCCTGTCCCACGGGCGTCTTCGCTCATCTAGGTCTTGATGTTGTTCGCTGTCAAAAGGTGCTGTAGCAGCAGCAGCAGCAGCAGCACCACTACTACTATTATTGCTACTACTGCTACTGCGGTTCCAGGCCTGCGGCCCCCCAACAGCTACAGCATTGCCTGAAACACCTGCGGCTCCCCCTGCTGCTCCCACTGCTGTTCCAGGACGGCTTTCAAATCGATTGGGGAAGTTCTGTCCAGATGGGGGCCGCTCCTCCTGGAAGCCTTTTGCAGGGCTTGGGGCCTGGAGGCCTGCTCGCATGCTATCTCGTTCATCAAAGTCCCCTCTGGTCTGGTTCCAGCGGTTATCAGGGGTGAAGCCTGCGAGAGCCTGCAGTCGTCCCACCAGGCTGCTTCTGCCTGGCTGAGCCCCTGGGGTCTGGAGCAAGGGAGGTCTGCCACCTCCAAGGGCCTCCCTATGGTCTGGTGGAGGGGTCCTCAGCAGGCCTGTGCTCGGCTTCTCCATTGGAGGGAATCGGTAGTCCTGGTCTTTGCCCTCATCAGCTCCAGAGGAAGACTCGTCTTCTAGCTTGGACACACTTTCATTGGCGAGGTTTGGGACCCTGTTGAAGGGGTCCAGCTGAGAGAAGGGGACCCTGGCACGGGCTTGAGCCTGGAGGGAACTCTCGAGCAGGCCAGCAACCTGCTGGATGGGCCCCTGCTGCATGAGGAGTGGGAAGCGGGCTGCCGCCCCGGGCTGGAGGATGTTGGGTCGAACATCCAGAGGCAGCAGGCCAGGCATCCTCTGGCCGGTCAGAGCAGACTGGTGCAGCTGGTGGCCAAGGGAGGCTGTGGGGTGCATGCCAAGGAGACCCATCCCACTGCGCACTGCGTTCTGCATGCCTGGGGACAAATCACAATGACAGAAATGATTGTTACGATTCTCTTTGGATAAACACAAATACTTTTTAGGGCTGCTTATAAAAACACTCAAAGTGTCCACCAGACAAAAACTATTTGAATCGCTCTCATGCTGGAACACATTAGCATCTGCTCACCTTGCAGCGTAAGCTCTGCTGCAGCATCCATACCGTCTGCAGACTGCAATGGTTTTTCATTGGTTGCTTGCTGGACTTGGTGGAACATAGAGGCCATGAAGCCGGCCGGAGGAATCATGGCACTGAACGGAGAATCCTTGACAGCATCTTGGCTGTTTAGCACTGAAGGCTGCACCAGAGCTATAGACGAGAACAGGAACAAAAACATGTAATCCAAACTAATACATTTAAATGCTAAGCCTTGAAATTACATTTAAATTGTTAACACACAATATGAAATATCATATTAGGGTATCATGTCGTAAATACTCACCATTAGCTGCGGCATTCATGGCTGCGGTCTGTGCTGCCTGCATAAAACCTGCAAAGCAGAACATGTTTTTTGTTAGCTTTGAATTCCTGTAGGTCTGATATGTATTCTTTATATAAGCATTTGCATTATTTACCTGGCGGAGGCTGCGAGGCATTGAAGCCGGCCCTGATGAAGGGTGGTGGAGGCCCGTAGCCTGGGGGGGGGATACCCATACTGACAGGGAAGTTAGGAGGCACCAAACCCACAGCACTGGGAACAGGCTGGGCCACTGGGAGCTGAAACAGAGGGTTACAAGAGAATGTGAATAAGTCAATGACGTGATGAGTAGCTGCAAAAGTCTCTATCAACATAGTAATACTTCATGCAAATAAAGATGCACCGTCTCCATTATCATCCAATAAAATAGAAAGTGTAGACATACAATCTGCAATAAAACCTATAAACTCTTTTTACAAACAGATTTTTGGAGAAAATGTACAAAACTGATCACATTCATCCACAGATAGAGAGTGTGTTTAGTACCTGTACAGGCATCATGGTGGCCTGCTGGCTGTAGCTCTCAGTGTGTGTGTTAGACACCGCTGGAGTCTCAACGCTGGCTGGCTGAATTATTACTTCCTTGACGGGCTCTGCATTCTTGGCAGCTTCCCACTCTGCAGCGACAGACATTAGGATGAAAACAAAGTTATCAACCATCTTTCAATTGTTTGTTTGGATTTGGGAGTTTAGCTTTATGTTTTCAACTCTTCTTCATTTTTCTACAGAGGGTGTGGAGTTCCCGCTGGGGTTTCTTAACGGATTTGAAGCATTACCATAACAAAGCAAACAACTGGGGGAATTGGGTAGAAGACAAATCCATTTAAGCGATTAAAAGCTGCCTGTGTTTTGGAAATCCGGATTATACTTTCATCATGTGTGTACAAACATGCTAGCAAGTCAACCATGAAAAACATGTATGAATTTCGAGTTGTGTGTAGTTTCTTTTAAAGGGGCAACTACACCTATTTACAAAATTCATACATGTTTGCCATGGTCTAAAACGGTCCAAAAATATGACTAAACATGAACAACTGTCTTCCAAATCCCCAAATAAGGGACTTTAACAGCCCCACCTAGTGTCAGCAGAAAGTATTAAAAATAATGATTACAAAAAAATTAAAAATATTTTAAGATCATGTTTAATCATCTGATTCGTCTGTACATTGCTGTTTTAGTCTGTGTTCTTGTGTCTACAGTGTGTGCCTATTGAGCTGTTTAGAGCCATGTGGGACAAAACCCGATCATGCCCCTCCCTCTCACTGTCTAAGTCAATGGTGACTGTAAAAACTACACTGCGCATGCTCAGAGTATTGTCCTATTTAATGTGTGTGGCAACAAAATAATGACCATAGGGGCACTGAGCTACCATCCCCACCATACGTCATCTCACATAATTCAGAGCTGATTGGCTGTAAGTATGTGTGCCGCGAAAACTGTGGTGTGTGAAGAACAGACGAGAGATGCGTCCTAAAACCAGGAAGTAAGCTGCGCATGGGTTCCCTCCACAAAAGTGCAATGAGATTTCTCCATGGGATTTTAGAAAATAGCTCAAAATAAGATCTGTGGGAAACGTACCTGTTTGATAAATGCACGTTTTGTTAACCCGGATAATATCCACATGTCTACCCTACTTTTATCATTTTCTAATCATAAATCTATCGATTAGATTTATGATAGACTTTTGAAACTACAAGAACATAAGGAGGACTTTTACAAAAAGTAATAGAGATTTTTGTCCAGAGGGACAGGCAAATGGACTTATTCTTCAAGTCAAGGTAAGACCGCAATTTTATTGAAAATGGGATCTTACTAAGAGAGAACAATTCAATATTTAAATGATAAAATTACATTTTTTGGGTATCCTTTTGTTGAACTGTGTGTTTAAAATTAATCGAAGCATCAGACAAAAAAAGCTTTTGAAAATAATATTATATTTTGATTTAGGTCAAAATATATTTGTAAACCTATAGAGTCAGTGCCAGTGCCAGCCATGAACCTCACTGCACGTCACTGCAGAAGCTTATATATACTGTAGGCATCTACGTTTTTTTGTGCCCCATCACTTTTGTACATATAAAAACGCCACTGGAAACATTGTACGTACATGGATACATTTTCTGTTTCCTGACTAACAACACTAACATTTATAAAGCTCAAGTGTGTATACAAAAAACAATCCATCCACAAAACCAGTTTATACTACACTAAAGACATTATATTTGATGATATCACAAGTTATAGACTTACTCCTATGGTTTCTGGCATTGAGAGTCGATCATGTTCACAAATATTCATATATCTTTCCTAGGCAATATCAAAAAGCAGTTTTTCCCCCTTTATAAGAATGTGTGTTTTCACCATCATTAACAGTCTCCTGGTCGATGATTCCTCCCTCAGCAAAGCCGTCCAGGTCATCCAGCTTCACCTTCTCCCAGGGTATGTAGGTGACACCCAGGTCCACATCCCAAAACTGCTTGTACTCCTGCTTTACCCCTTTGTTCAGAGCCCATGCAATCTGAATCAGAAACAAACACAAGAAGGTCAATAAACAGCATTTCTCAATGTAATTTCCGCGGGCGTACAAGGATCCGTGTGCCTGGAACAGGGGTCGGCAACCCGCTGCCGCATGCGGCCCTTTAAGCCCTCTGCTCTGGCTCCCTTGAGCTTATACAAAAATAAGAAGGAAATAAAATAAAAGTATTTGTAGGACTATTTATATTTTGTTGCATGGTTGAAAATGTTTCGTATTTTGAGGTGATACTGTGACACATAAATAAAAAACAAAACGGTTTTAATTAGGTCAACTAAAATATGCGTCACATCCCGCTACGGTTCCGCGCGAGCACCTTTTCTTGGAGGCGAATAACCTGACCCCCGGCTCGATGAGCGAACTATGGATAAATCAAAGAAAAGTACCGGAGGAACACAGGATTTAATTATGTGTGGACAGAGTTATCTGCTTTCACAGCAAACGATGCTGGTTTACCGGTATGTTTGATATGTAGAGAGTAGTTGTCAACGGTGGTGCAGCCTTTAGTATCGAGGAACAACAAGGGAGAGGAAGACAGCTGATGATCTTCAGTCATAATTCAATGTAATTTATTTCAGAAAACACTTTTTGTTATATTCCATGGAATGCTCTTAACGTCCCGATAGCAATGAATATATTAAATGCTTTGACAATAAATACATACAAAAATTAATCTCTGGAAGCCGTAGCGCTGTAAAAAGCACATCCAGTCATTTTAGCCGGCCCGGCTAAAATAACTGGATGGCCTAACTGCCTGTCAGCCTTCCATCTGTGCACAAACTTATCTCGTGCCCTCATTGGTCATGTGCGCGTTCGTGTGTGTTGGAGGAGGGACTCTGTAAGGAAGTCTGAAGGAAGAGGCATATTTTTTCCGGTTGTGTATTTTCAAATTCTAGCACACTCGAGCTGGTTTCTCCATTCTTACCTACCCTACCTTTAACTCTTTTTAGGGTGCAGCTATATGTTTTATTTATTTCAAAGTGGGCCCATTTTAATAATATATTTTTTTCCATCAAATGTGCAGAGGACTCCCCAAGTGCTGTGTTTAATTTATTTTAAAGTAGGCCTGTGTATTATTTTTAGTTCTCCTTATAAGAGTTATTTGTTTCTTATTAGAGGTTAACAGTTTTATATCATGTAATAAATAGCCTAATAAATGCAAAAAAACTGTAGTTTTTGTCTGATATAACAATAAAAAACTATGAAATATGTTTTGCGGCTCCAGACAAAAAAATGTTTTGGAAAAAGGAGCAAAATGGCTCTTTTGGTCAAAAAGGTTGCAGACCCCTGGCCTGGAAGAACCGCTGGGGAACTACGTTAGAAGAAACCCCAAGGAGAGTTAGGATAAAGTTAATTAAATTATAAAAAGGTAATGTGTACCTTGATGACTTTGGAGCCTATCTTAAAGGAGCCAGTGCTGAGCTTCTGGCGAGCGCGATATGCATCCTGTCTGTGGACCATACAGATGTAGGCACAGCCTCTGGGCGGGATCATCTGCAGACACACACACACACACACACATTACATTACATGGTAGGGTTCAAAACAGGGCATGACCACATGACCATAGACTGATGAAAAATGTAAATGAGAAAACTGAGTGAAAATGTAGCATTGACGAAAGACAAAGAAATAGGGGATTTAAAAGATAGTTGATGGCAGCTTAAAGTAACTATACTGACCTTCATGTGACAGAGATTAAAGAAGTGGATACAGTTCTGTGGCTAAATTAGAGGGTGAGAGGTTTACTTACATTTATAGACTCAATCTGGCCAAACTCTTCAAATAAGTTGGTGAGGTCTTGCTGAGTCGCCTTTTTGTCCACCTGTCCCACCCACAGAGTCGTGCTGCACACTTTGTACGGGCAGAGGGGGAAATAATAATTATTCACCAGAAAAGCACTGACAGCAAACATCCATTTATGATTGCAATGACCTTCCACTGACCACTGAGAGTTTTCGACCGGATGGGAGGTAGTCCTTTCTTCTGCCGCTCCTTCTCTCGCTCGCGGGCGTGTCTCTCACTCGAGTAAGACCGGGAGGACTTCCTCTTGCGGTCTCTGGAGCGTGAGCGGGATCGCTTGCGGTGTTTGCGCTTCCGTGAGCCGGAGCGAGACCTGGACCTCCTCCTCTTGGGAGACCTACGGAGAGAAAACATGGAAACCTTTGGGAATTCTTTCCAGATGGACTTTTGTGTTTGCAGTCACACTGCAGCGCTGCACCCTTTGACTATCAACACCGGTTTTCACAATTCAGTTTTGCATTGAATGTTTCTCCACTTATAAATGCATTTATTTGTGCCTAGCCAGTGTTTGAAGTTAAAGGATTATAGCAACTGCATTTTACAAGCTTGTATAGGCACATCATCGCTGCCCTCATTGACTATTTGAAAAAATCCAATGAATCACAGTAATCCAGTTTACAACATACGTTGACTGAACTACTAGGCAGAATCCAGATTTATTTCCCAATCTCAATAAATGTAATTAATAAAAACACTCTCTGGTTAGTCTTTAATTAATGACATATATTTTTTCCTGGGCCAATCGAAGAACATGGGTTATGTAATTCTTCTTAAGTAGGAAATGTAAAGCTATAGTGCATAGTAAGGAGTGAAATTATCAGTATGCTATCGCTGGATCTACATCCAGCGATCTTGTACCAATTTTAAATCTGACCTTCAAGGTCAGCACTTTTCAAACAAGGTTAAAAAAAATCAATGCATCCCATAAAAACAGACAATTCAGCAATATTTCATGTACATTTAGTAAATGTTTTTACAAAATTAGATTTCAGTTATAAATGGGACTGACCTAGATCGTGACCTTGAGCGTGTTCTGGAGCGCGTGCTTACAATCTTCTTCTCCTCTGCCTCAAACGTATCCTCCTCCATACCATCTGGGCCCTCGTCCAGATCCATGTCCTGAAAAAGACGGGGTTATTTTTACCTTCTACAGAGATACAAGGTGAAGTAAGAAACTATTGTAACAATCACATCTAGGCTAGGGATGGGAACGATTAATCGATATGAGTTATGAATATTTTTATAAATATATTTTTTTTTTTTGGGAGGGATGCCTAAGTTGATTACATATGATCAAATTGAATAATTCAATGTATACGATAGTGCCATAGCTAAGTGTGTTCGGTCTAAAGGTGTGTTTTGCTCCGCTCACCGGTCCCTCACAGCGGGCAGAGCTGCAGGTGCTGATCTCTCTCGCGTCCGGTTATACTTCACTCGCGTTTATGTCCAAATCCATCAGATCTAGCTAGTTCTAGATAACGATATGGCTGCTGCCCCTCCCTACACGCAGATCACGCAGACTCAAACATCATCTTATGCCCAAATGCGCTCCGCAGCTGTTGCGAGGTTCCGGCGCTAACAGTTCATGAGCGTGCTCCCCCGCCCCCTGTCAACACTCGCGACACATGAGTGGCCAGCCTAAACAACAATAAGCGCTGCTTGGCAACCGTGTGTGGCGGCAAAGTACATAGACATTTTGACAGGAGAGATTTAGTTTTGCCGGTATTCAACATATTTTACCAGTCATAGTCCGGTAATTATTTACACTCCAACGGAGAGTCAAACTGTGATCACCAGTTCAATACATTTGACAGATTCGACTTGGTTTCTATACTTATTTGAACATGTATTTATTTATTTCCAAAAGTTATTGCATTTTTTTTTTAGATGTTTTGGGCCTTTTTTTTTACCCAATTTTTTTTTTTTTATAGGATATGTACATTTCGGTTAACTGGTTAACCGCTTTTTGGGGGGTCGAATATACATTTGCTTTCAAATTCCCATCCCTAATCTAGGCTCAAAGCTTATTAAACGTACTTGGTTCAGTGCTAAGACTTGAACCCCATTTTCAAAAGAAAATAATATGTTTTGTTTATGTCCCACTGGTCATGCATACCTGCTGTTGGTTGTCTATGGTGTCATCCAGCTTGTTGTCCTGTTCAGAAAGCTGTTGCTGGCTGCCGCTCTGAGCATTTGAGTTCTCATGGCCGAAGATGGAGTCCTGACCTTCCATGCTCATCGCCTGGAGAAACAAAAATAGCGCTGTAGCTATTGTGTGTTTTCATTTATTAAAAAGTTAGGTCCTAAGGTATGTGTGAGGGACATTGTGTGATGTCGGAGGATGAGAAGTTATCTGTTGGAGTAGGGTGTGTTCTCCCTCTGTGTGAGTAGCCTACTGCATACTGTTAGTGTTTTTTACTTCCACAAGTGAAACCTAATTTAGCAATTTGAGACGTATTTACTATCCCGTATGGTTACAGTGCATCCTGGGATAGAAGCGTTGATCTGTTGAACCTTTTCAACTTCCGAGTACACCATCAGTTCTGAAGAAACAGCGATCTGTGTGTGGACCTACCTTCTGTTGGTGGTGCTCTAAAAGCTGCTTCTGAAACTGCTCCAGGTTCTGCTGCTGTAGCTGCTCGGCCAGCTGATGGAAGAGGGAGCTGGGCTCCGACACCATGGGCCTGGAAGTGATCGGATCAATTAGATTAATCGAGGTGGTTGACAGTGAAATGACTCTTGATCACTATTTAGCCAAAACGCAATGTACTCACATCTGAGATGACGAGGATTCCTTTTTAGAATCGTCACCGCGATCAGAATCATTCCCAAAATCAAAAGGACCCAGCAGCTTCTGTAAGAAACATATAACATAATTATATTAGGGGACATCTGTGGATTAAAGGAAGAGGACTTTTCACTTGCTCACTGCAGCTTACCTTATTAAAAGAGGAGACCCTCTGCTCCAGGGGGTTCATGCTGTTGGCAGTAGCGGCAGCAGTGAGTTGGGCTGTCAGAGCCTGCAGCTGCACCACCAGGCCTGCGTCCAGGGCCTGCAGCAGGGAGGGCTGCGGCTTCTGCTGCTGCATCTGGAGGCTCTGCACCAGCTGCTGCAGCTGCAACAGGTCACAACACAGGGTTAGAGACAGTTGTATAAAGGAAATAAATAAAGTCTTATCTTAAACACAGGTTGAATGTAATAAAATAGATTTGCTCAAGTACTCTGCTTAAATATTATTCTATCATACTTGTACTTTACTGGAGAATTTTTTTTTATGCTACTTTATACTTCTACTTTACTGCATGATGGAGGAAGATTTACTTTTGATGCACTCAATGTAATAAACACTTGAAGTTAGTTTGTACATCTAAAATGACATTATGCTTATACACTGAACAAAAATATAAACGCAACACTTTTGTTTTTGCTCCCATTTTTCATGAGATGAACTCAAAGATCTAAAACATTTTCTATATACACAAAATAACCATTTCTCTCAAATTTTGTTCACAAATCTGAAAAAATCTGTGATAGTGAGCACTTCTCCTTTGCCGAGATAATCCATCCCACCTCACAGGTGTGGCATATCAAGATGCTGATTAGACAGCAGGATTATTGCACAGGTGTGCCTTAGGCTGGCCACAATAAAAGGCCACTCTGAAACGTGCAGTTTTGCTTTATTGGGGGGGTCCGAAAACCAGTCAGTATCTCGTGTGAGGGGTAAGATTAGGTTTAGGGGTAGGGTTAGGGTAATGTTGTGAATCGAGTGGCCCATGGTGGTGGTGGGGTTATGGTATGGACGACGAACACAGGCCACTCGATTCACAACATTACCCTAACCCTACCCCTCACACGAGATACTGACTGGTTTTCGGACCCCCCCAGACCCCCCTAATAAAGCAAAACTGCACGTTTCAGAGTGGCCTTTTATTGTGGCCAGCCTAAAGGCCCTGACACACCAGGCCGATTTCGGCTGTTTTCGTAAGTCGGGAGACGAAGCGTGTCCTGTCGCCCAAACTCAATTTGGTGTGTCCCGCACCGTTGACCGTGACACGCCTTATTTGGACTGCCAGTCCCGATGCATGGCCGATTCAACATGTTGAATCGGCCATGCATCGGGTCTGGCAGTCGGACCAAACAATCACTCTGATTGGCTGTTCAGCTAGCGAATCAGTGCATGAGAAGCGAAACGGAAGTGAGGGACGTAAACAAACGATTTAAGAAGGCACACACAGACTGATATTCATTTTCATCTCATCATGGCGATCTGGAATGACGCAAACGAAGACCTGCTCATCACATTGATCCAGGAGAGGCCAGCTCTGTACGACATCACAGAGAAAAGGTACTCGAACCGAGTAGTGAAAACCGGACTCTGGCGAGAGATTGAAACGCAACTTGGTTTCTCGGGTAAGATTATCTTTTTCATCAATTGAGCTCTTTAGCAGATATTGTTGGCTTTTTATTGTTTGCCAGCGTACAGTGACGTTAACGTGAAATGTAATTTGTTATTTCAACCTTGTGTTTTGTTGTTATCTTGTTGCTAGCTGTTGCTAGCTGTGCAGTTTGGCACTGCATATAGATATGAATTGGACATGCTAACTAGCCACAATGGTTACATCGTTTATTTGTGTGCTTCAGAGAAAGAGCTGAGGAAGAAGTGGGATTCTCTGCGAACCCAGTACACCCGGTACAGGAGACTTGCCCCTTCGGGTAGTTGTGGAGCACCAAAGACGGGCAGACAGCAGTGGATCATAACCAGGCTGCAGTTTGCACACGCTATTTGTTGTTGTTTATATCACGCAGTCTGTTCTTCTTCTCTGTCTTCCGGTTGTTGCCTATTTTTAATGACGAATACACACTACCACCGCCTGCTGGTAAGGAGAGTTATTGCCACTCACGCACTGAAGTCTTTGCGGTGTGTTCCCGTGCGACACATGGCCAAGACGCAGGAGAACACCGCGATGCAACAGCCGACGTCGGCGAGTCCTCTGGTGACTGCTTGGTGTGTCAGGGCCTTAAGGCACACCTGTGCAATAATCATGCTGTCTAATCAACATCTTGATATGCCACACCTGTGAGGTGGGATGGATTATCTCGGCAAAGGAGAAGTGCTCACTATCACAGATTTTTTCAGATTTGTGAACAATATTTGAGAGAAATGGTTATTTTGTGTATATAGAAAATGTTTTAGATCTTTGAGTTCATCTCATGAAAAATGGGAGCAAAAACAAATGTGTTGCGTTTATATTTTTGTTCAGTGTAATAAAGCTAATAAGTATGCAGAATTGGATCCACATTGACAAACTACAAGATTAAAATGCTCTTACGTGTATTTGTTAGAGATAAAAACTGGGAAATATACAGTATTCTATAAAGATATAATACTGTCAAAAGGGCCATTCTGAATTCTAAAGACCAAAGAATTTCATCTTTTTCGGAAGTAAAGGATCTGATTACCTGATCTACCTCTGACCGTAACAAAACAGTGACAGTGTAATGGTTTGAAAGCGGAGCTCCTGGAGGACCCGCTCACTAACCTGCTGTCCCTGGGGACTCTGTAGGATCTGTGCCACAGCAGCCACTGTGTCTGTGTTGTTAATCTGGGAGGCCCAGTCAGGCAGACCCTGCACGATGTTAGCGGGGGTCGCAGGAGTAGCTGGGCTACCTGGACACAGAAACAGAGGGGTTACAATGTGAACCATGAACTAAACTCATTCTGTTGTTATATCAAACAAGTTCAGTATCCACATTGTCAGAGTGTATAATGATGCATGTCTCTTGGACTGACCAGGTGTTGTGTTATTGACTTGAGAAGCACTGCTGGGCATGATGGGAGTGACGATGGGCGGGGCGATCCCTGCCGCCATGTCCAACAGAGGCTGGATGATGTCACTCTTGAAGACCGCATTCTTCTGCCACAGGTTCAGGACTCGCACTATCTTACTCTGGAAACACAGACCAAGAGAGCAAAAGCAACTGTGAAATAAGAGTAAAAGGTAATGACATGTGCGACCAAAAAAATTGCTGATATGATCGAAGAAAATAGAGTTTATAACCATGTTAAAAGATAGAAGTCTGACAGAATCACGTTTATAAAACAAAGGCTTTTATCAGATGCTTTTTTTTATATATCACACATTTTAAATGCATCATTAACTATATTTTCATTTATTTCACTTCAACTGCCCTTCACATATTGCGGGCCAGTTCACTTGGTCGCAACAATGAAATAAAGTGGGGCCCATTTCTATCCGTGACCTATTCCTCAAAACACAGCTTTCTGTAAAACTGCGGCATAAATCAAGGGGTCTAATACCCTCCCTCATGAAACCATGACAAGATACAAAAGCCACATAGGGGAACACAAAGCCATTAAAATCTGTCTGACCTTATCATCTGAAGGGCAGCGGTAGAGGTGCTGGAACGTGGCGATGATGTTCTTGCTGAAGCGTGGAGCAAAAACGTCCTTCTCCATGCCAAACTGGTGACGCGACTGCCTGACGATGGAGTCCACCACGTAAAGGCCGGGCACCTTGTATTCTGGTTTGCACTGTCGATGGGGAAATGGAGAGCTGAGTAAGGATCATTTTATAACAGGGAACATTTTGAATGCAATACTGAAATGATGTTGTACCTATTACGCTGATAAACATAAGCATACAAATAAAAATCACTTTCAAACTGAATGTATAAACGTTTAAATGACAACTCACCTTTTGGATGAACTTCTCCACACTCTGGACAACATGCTTGTAGAACTGAAAGAGAATAAACAAAGATTTTGAGTTTTATGTACTTGTAAAAAATGTATACATTTAATTTCTTCCTCAATGCTGTTTGATCCTCATTTAGAAAGGACACCTCTTTATTGTATGGTAAATTGTTAATGTAGGAAGGTGTAAAAGAGTGAGCAAACAACAAAATTATTTTTATTGAATGGGTAAGAATGGGTTTAGTGAATGTTCCTCTACTGTTCCTTTGGTGGCCTTTGCTGAGTATCTTATACAGGAGCAGAACATTTTTTTTAAAACATAAAAAGAGGAGGACATTCTTTAAATGTTCCCGTAGCTAATAACATAAGACAAATGTTTGTATGTTAGCAAGTAAGAAAGCTTAAAGTAACTCAATTAGAATACAATTTGAAAAGAGCAGAATGTCTAACAGGTGGGTCATTCCATAGACTTGCTAGATTCTGTCCATGCACTCTTTTGTCAAATAGGGCCATTACTACATATCATCTCCAGGCAGCAAGAGATGAGTAGAGGTTAATTGATAGCAGGCAGTGCTCTGTAGTTACTGGGTGAACCTTTATTAAATGTTTATGACAGGCTTAACTATGTAATATATTGTTGTTGTGAGGTGTGACAAGACACACAAATATAGAGCTAATAACCAAAGTTATTAACCTCAAATAAGAGCACCGGTTACTTTTTTTTATTTTTGTTGTTAGCATCTGGTTAGCTAGCTGCTCTAAAAGACAAGGAGGAGGGAGATAAATAGCTCAGGTGAGGTTAGGGACTCTCTGTGTGTTTAGATAGTTAATGTTAGTCTAAGTTATCTCAGTGGGTCTCAAACAAATATGTGTTTACAAATTATGTAAACACATATATCCAAGACACTCCTTTATAATTATTAGGATAAATAAAAACAGGTTTGAAATCATTCCAATGTATACTATAGGACAGTAAACCAAAAATATCGTTTACAGTTGGAGAGATACAGAAATATGCATAAATAAATAAATAAATAAATGTTAACTGGTCAAATAAGATATAAATGAACAACAAAAATAAAATAAGTTACATTTATTTGTTATTGGCTATGGTAGGTTATTGGTTATGTTCACATACTTATTTGATTATTAAAATGTAAACCGATCTTTTTCATATGGGTGTTTTAGAGAGTTGTACCCCCTAGATCAGGTCTCTAGTAATTGTGTGCTCAAAGTGCACCAGATTGAAGAATTTTACTTTAAAAGTTCAAAAAAATCTTCCTGGGGAGGCATACCCCCAGACCCCCCTAGAGGATGTGACATCCACCCCCCAATTAAAACATGTTCATACAATACTGAATACATTTGAAGCCATTTTGACGTATATTACCTATGTCAATAAGTTTCTGTTTTTGTAGTGTATTTGTCTTTTGTAGAGATTTTTCATTTAATCTTTACATATAAAATCTCGCCTAGGGCAGCAAATTGGCTAGAACCGGCCCTGGCACTAGGCCTCAAGAGCCTTTCTTGTGCTGGCAGACTCAGAAACAAATTCGGCGGGGGGCACGCACTAAAAAAAATTCCACGCTCTCCGTGCTCACATTATGCTGAGCCCACGTGCCTTAGCACCGCTGCTATGACTCCATCCTAGGGGAAACACTGTGCTAAATTATAAGCACACTGTTTGCTCTAAACAAAGTTTGATATTATAAAACACACCTTTTGCAAATAACTACGCACATCATTCAAAATGAAAAGCCTGTGTTTTGTTTGCTGCCATACAAACACCATACTCAATAATCAAGTCACACAAAACAAGAATGCAAATGTACCCCAACAGGTAACAGACCAGGGCTCGACATTAACGACTGCCTGATGGCCCGGGGCCATCTAGTATTTAGCTCGGGAAATGAAGCCTCACCTGCTGGTTGCCCAATCGGGCAAACTATTATGCCAGTATCATGCAGCTCGCGGATCCAGTAATGAGTGACCCGACAGTAAAACTAAACATATCTATAACTAGGTAGTTTGAGAGGTAATTAGCTACGTGTGATATTCTAACCTGAAGTGTGTGTTTTGTCCGCTCACCGCTGCATGTGATCATGCAGAGCTGCGTGTCGACTCGTCAGCAGCAGCTGATCTCTCTCTCCCGTCAGATTAGACTTCACTCGCGTTTATGTCCATATCGATCAGATCCAGCTAGTTCTAGCTAATGATATGACTACCTGCTTATTAAAAGACACCTAAACAATAAGTGCCGCTATGCAACCGGGTGAGGCCACAAAGTATAGCGCAGCATTATGCATTTCTTTACATGCCCAGATCATTACCAACAGATCAACGCACAATCAACCCATACAGGACATCTCTTTCTCCACATTAAGTGTTAGACATTAGAATTGACTGTTCTTGTCTGTCACATACTCTTCTTGTCTGTCACAAGTGGCGCAACTGAAGCGGTATTGCGCTAAAGGGAAATTATTTTGACCGGACATTTTGACCGGAGAGATTTAGATTTGCCGGCTAACGGGAACTCTGACGTCGCCATTTTGTGTGCTTCGCGGATGCGCTCGGCTCCTCTCGACTGCTGCTCGGGTCTGCTCGGTCAGCTTCCGGATGAGGAGGCATTCGTTCGACCAACTTACAGTAGATAACATTACAAACATTTTTAACAGAGGCCATAATACACTGAACAAAAATATAAATGCAACACTTTTGTTTTTGCTCCCATTTTTCATGAGATGAACTCAAAGATCTAAAACATTTTCTATACACAAAATAACCATTTCTCTCAAATATTGTTCACAAATCTGAAAAAATCTGTGATAGTGAGCACTTCTCCTTTGCCGCGATAATCCATCCCACCTCACAGGTGTGGCATATCAAGATGCTGATTAGACAGCATGATTATTGCACAGGTGTGCCTTAGGCTGGCCACAATAAAAGGCCACTCTGAAACGTGCAGTTTTGCTTTATTGGGGGGGTCTGGGGGGGTCCGAAAACCAGTCAGTATCTCGTGTGAGGGGTAGGATTAGGGTTAGGGGTAGGGTTAGGGTAATGTTGTGAATCGAGTGGCCCATGGTGGTGGTGGGGTTATGGTATGGGCAGGCGTATGTTATGGACGACGAACACAGGCCACTTTCAGAGTGGCCTTTTATTGTGGCCAGCCTAAGGCACACCTGTGCAATAATCATGCTGTCTAATCAGCATCTTGATATGCGAAGTTGCTGGATATTGGCAGGAACTGGAACACGCTGTCGTATACGCCGATCCAGAGCATCCCAAACATGCTCAATAGGTGACATGTCCGGTGAGTATGCTGGCCATGCAAGAACTGGGATGTTTTCAGCCTCCAGGAATTCTGTACAGATCCTTGCAACATTATCATGCTGCAACATGAGGTGATGGTCGTGGATGAATGGCACAACAATGGGCCTCAGGATCTCATCACGGTATCTCTGTGCATTCACAATGCCATCAATAAAATGCACCTGTGTTCGTCGTCCATAACATACGCCTGCCCATACCATAACCCCACCACCACCATGGGCCACTCGATTCACAACATTGACATCAGAAAACCGCTCACCCACAGGACGCCACACACGCTGTCTGCCATCTGCCCTGAACAGTGAAAACCGGGATTCATCCGTGAAGAGAACACCTCTCCAACGTGCCAGACGCCATCGAATGTGAGCATTTGCCCACTCAAGTCGGTTACGACAACGAACCGGAGTCAGGTCGAGACCCCGATGAGGACGACGAGCATGCAGATGAGCTTCCCTGAGACGGTTTCTGACAGTTTGTGCAGAAATTATTTGGTTATGCAAACTGATTGTTGCAGCAGCTGTCCGAGTGGCTGGTCTCAGACGATCTTGGAGGTGAACATGCTGGATGTGGAGGTCCTGGGCTGGTGTGGTTACACGTGGTCTGCGGTTGTGAGGCCGGTTGGATGTACTGCCAAATTCTCTGAAATGCCTTTGGAGACGGCTTATGGTAGAGAAATGAACATTCAATTCACGGGCAACAGCTCTGGTGGACATTCCTGCTGTCAGCATGCCAATTGCACGCTCCCTCAAAACTTGCGACATCTGTGGCATTGTGCTGTGTGATAAAACTGAACATTTTAGAGTGGCCTTTTATTGTGGCCAGCCTAAGGCACACCTGTGCAATAATCATGCTGTCTAATCAGCATCTTGATATGCCACACCTGTGAGGTGGGATGGATTATCTCGGCAAAGGATAAGTGCTCACTATCACAGATTTTTTCAGATTTGTGAACAATATTTGAGAGAAATGGTTATTTTGTGTATAGAAAATGTTTTAGATCTTTGAGTTCATCTCATGAAAAATGGGAGCAAAAACAAAAGTGTTGCATTTATATTTTTGTTCAGTGTAGTATAATAGTATAGCCAGTATACTATTATATATATATATATATATATATATATATATTAGGGATGCACGATATTGGTTTTTTGAAACCGATAACGTCCTGCTTCTCAAGACCGATAACGATACCGATAATAATTAGGGCTGTCAAGTTAACGCGTTAATAACGCGTTAACGCAAAAAAAAATGAACGCCACTAATTATTGTAACGCGATTAACGCATCTGTATTTTTTGTCCTCGGTCGCCCCGTAGTTTCAGAGCACATCGAGTTTAAAATACCATCTACAAGCTGATGCTGACAGCCCCGCTCCTGCCGCCCGCTTGTGGCAGACCACACTTCCACGCTCACCGGCAGGCACCGACTGGCTTTTGGGAGGACCGGGAGGGTGTGTGTATGTGTGGCCCGAGCGAGCGAGAGAGAGACCTTACGTGCATTGTTGTTGTTAGCATCTGGTGCTAGCTAGCTGCGCTAACGGATATGGAGCTGTTTAAATGAAAACAGAGGAGCGACATTTCGCCACAACTGCGCCGAGCACTTGACTTTATGCAGGAAGTCAGACAGTGGGACATTGTACGAAAAGTCAGCACACTCAGCACGGATAGTGCGCAACATGATTGCAGCGTCCAGGCAGCTCCCGTTCGAGCATATGCCT